AAATTCCAGTACTATTCTTGATGGCACATTCCGCCCGCATCGCATGGGCGGAGTCGGGCCACTGGAGTATGGTGTCACCGTTCTGCAACAGATTTCGAATGTGTAATAGAAATTATTGTTAAAGGAGTGAATTCTGGCAGTGCTGGGAATACATGCATGGCTATAGCAGCGCCAGTAAACGGTTTCGTGAGATATAGCCAAAATGCTAGTGGTAGGTTGTTTATAGCTCCTTGACTTCTTCTGAAGACAGAACTTCTTTGGAGGGTGTGAGCGGGATCATCGGGGATGGAATTAAGGCTGCACACCTGAACTCCGACCCCGATAACCCCACTGCCACCCAGTAACACAGAACTAAAGGCTGCAACTTCGTCCTAGCACTACGAAATGCCTCGCTATGGCTGTCAGCTCCAAGCAGTCTACAATTCTTCAGGAGTCTACCCTTCTGGCACAACCGCATCGTTATCCTGCAATCTCGGCTATACAGTATCTGGAACCATGTCAAGCATTTGCTCAGGAGGAACATGGATTCCATCCACTTTAGGGACTTGCAATCCAGGTGAGCTGAAGAATCCTGGCCTCCTAGAACTTCATAGGAATTTATGCAGTGGTTTTCAGGACTTAGTGGACTGGAAAACAGTGTAATGGGGAACAGTGTGCTCACGTGTACAAATCCCACGGTAGCGAACGGAATTGTCAGTTACAGCATGGGCAGCTCGTTCGAAGTGAGTGAGCTGAGTTAGCCTCAAGTGTGCCACAGTCTACACTGACTACATGGGTGGAGTCAGGCCTAACTCTACGCTCTCTTCAGCTTCCTGGCACTGTGAAATGAGTACCCCTATCAGAAGAGTGGAAGACCTGACTCGACCTACACTCCCTATCCCTGAGACGGACTGGGCGTGGCAAATGAACATGGCATAGAACTGGTTACTCATGGGATACTTCAGTTCGAGACAACTGCCATCTTGTTCTGTGTTGGACGGAGACATGACCACAACTGCGCCAAAATCGCCAAAATGAAAATATCTCACCAAAAGCACGCCAAGCGCCGCGTTCGGTCGAAGTACACAGCCACGCCCACCACATCGCAGGGATTTCGAGTGTATGTGATGAGCATGCACAACGGTTTTACTTGAAAAATTGCCTGACAGCAAATGTTGGACTCAGAGCCAGGGCAAGCCAAGAGAGTAGGTTTTCTTCAAAATGATCTCCCGACCGAAAAACCCGTTCAGCGAGAGGGAACGGGGGTCATCCACTGATCAACTGTCTAAAATTGCTGTGATACAGACTAGAAGTAGTGCGCGATGGAACCCCTGGAACGGGAAAATTCAACAACGGAAATTGTTTTCCATACTGATATACATCTCTTTTGGCTACAGTATGCCCCGGAGATGGTGGATCCTTTTCTAGAGTGCAAGCTTGTTCGCTGCGGATGTATCGGATGTCAGTAGGCTGGGTGGCGCACTTCTTGCCCCCGTTCTCCAACAGTTATTAAAGCGGGGCAGAGACAGGACAACTGGAGGAATTACTCATACAGTCCTCAGGCCGGCTCGCCTGAAAGGAAAAAGGAAACAAATGGGCCTAGCGCTAAGCGCCAAATTCATCCCCTCTTACATGCACCACCATCCGAAGCAAACAGGGCTACATACAGTCCGTAATGATGAACTGAGAAATCTTCGAGCTTCAAAAGTGGAAGGTGTGAGTTATTCTGAACAATTTTAAATTGTACTGGCTCTGAATGAATCTGAAAGAATGCAAGCCATTTGAATAAATGCCTGAAATAAGGCAAAATACAAGGAAAAGAGCATAATAATCGACATAAAAATAAAGGAAATCAGAGCCAGTACAATTCAAATTGTTCAGAATAACTCACCTTCCACTTGAGAAGCTTCAAGAGTGAAAAAGTAGTTGGCTGGTTCACCACACCGGGCCGCAGGCCGCTATCGCGTTCACAGTGCGGCGGCGGCTGTGCCGCGCCCGACCAGTTCGTATGAATGAGGACTGTACACTGGCGTGTCGCATGACGAATCTCGGGACGTCATGACGGCGGCGAATTTGGAGCGCAGCCAGGTGGCAGTGTTCATAATACAATGTGCTTCTGGGTCCGCTACGAAATGAGTTGAAAAATCTGCTGGTGCGCTTCCGGCTAGCAGCCGCTGTAATGCACGATCGTGTCTGGGGATAGTCTGGATGTATGGAGAGGCAAACCGACACGGGAAGCGTAGCCGTCCCCAGAAGCCCCTCTTCGCTCCCAGATGTGGGCAATATCACTCCTCCTTCGCCTTTCCATATCTGCCGCTTACACACGCCTTTTTGCTTCGCTGATGATCTTTTATTTAGGCAACCAAGCAGTCGGGCACAGTAGCGACACTCTCCTGCAATTTGGGCTTTACGCTAAACGGATCGCTGACATCACTATGCCAGAACGGCATCTGGACGCCTCCACTGGGCACGTGCATCTCGTCACTCGGAGGTTCTGCCAGTTATATTTCCCACATAATCTAAGACTTCATCTTACAGGAAAAAAAATTCAGAGTCGCGAGTTTCGATTCAGAATAATGAGGGATAATCAAACATTTATATTAATTAATTAATAATTTATTCTAGATGGCTTTGATCCTGTCCAATGGATGTTTTTGTTAGTTTGACGGGACATACGGTAGTTAGCAGTTAAGGATGGCCATGATGGCACTGCCTCTTAATGTTCAGTCAACTTGGATCGTAGGGGCGGAGACAGTCACTAATCGTGCTTTCCTTATTGCCCTCATTCTTAGACCGTAGAGGCAAGAGGGCGCAGTAATGAAGGAAGCCCAATTGGATATCTCCGCCCACATGATCAGCGCGGACTATGCCTTAAACAGCTATTTATATTTGTATCTGTACGAAACTCTAAGATTGCGCTATACAGTTTGAAAAGCTGCTGTTAACTGGTGACTTAACCAGTAAAAGTTTTTACTTGATTGGATGGCCGTGACTGTTGCCTTGGGGAAATCGGCTGAGTCCAGAGGAAACGATACTTGATACGGTAATGGATTTGCTTTATCTTTTCTTAGTTCGTTTACCGAAAGACTCATCGCTATCATTACTGGGTTCTCTAACTATGTCCGTGAGCATACTACTCATGCTTGACTAACCCTAACACAACCCCTTCACTGATTATCACTTATCAGTTCTTCTTTCAGGTACCGGTGGAACCGGTGGATCCTCATCTCAAACATGTCCGGCGCTATT